CTGTGTGTGGGTATGTCTGTGTGTGGGTGTGGGTGTGTCTGTGTGCGGGTGTGTCTCTGTGTGTGGGTGTGTCTGTCTGTGTGTGGGTGTGTCTGTGTGTCTCTGTGAGTGGGCATGCCTCTGTGTGGGTGTGTCTGTCTGTGTGTGGGTGTATCTCTATGTGTGGTGTATCTCTATGTGTGGGTATGTCTCTGTCTGTGTGTAGGTGTGACTCTGTGTGTCTGTGTGTGGATGTGTCTCTGTATGTGTGTTGGTGTCTGTGTGGATGTGATGGTGTCTGTGAGTGTGTGCCTGCGTCTGTGTGTCTGTGTGTGTGTGTGGGTGGATGTGTCTTTGTGGGTGTGTTAGTATCTGTGCGTGTGTGGTTGTCTGTGTGGGTGTGTTGGTGTCTGTGAATATGTATCCTCGTCTATGTGTGTGTCTCTGTGTCTGTTTGCCTCTCTGTGTGTGTGTGTCTGTGCGTCTCTCTTTCTGTGTGCCTGTGCGTGTATGTGTCTGTGTATGTGTCTGTGTGTGTCTGTGCGTGTCTGTGTGTGTCTGTGTGTGTGTGCGTGTCTGTGTGTGTGTGTCTGTGTGTGTGTCTGTGTGTGTGTGCGTGTCTGTGTGTGTGTGTGTGTGTCTGTGTGTGTGTGAGTGAGTGAGGCCGGGTTCATACCCGTGTCCCTCGTTGTGTGAAAGCCCACACACATGGAGGGGGCAGTTCCATCTCTCCCTCTGGCCTGGGAAGGGGGAGGCTCCAGAAAGCAGCCCCTCCCCACAGGCCGATCTGCGCACGATGCCCGGGACAGGCAGACATGCTCTCCAACAGCGGCCCCAACAGGAGTATACTGTCAGGAGGGGGCAGCACCGGGAACCCCCTAATGACAACCCCCCACACCCTCACCTCCCTTCCCCACCCCCCAATCCTCACACCCCCAACCTCAACACCCCTCTGATTCTGCACTCCCCCACCCCCACCCCACTCCCTCCACCCCCACTCCATTGCTCCTCCACTCTACTCCCCACACCAACTCCCCCGGGACTGAACACTGTTGATGACCCAGTGAAGAGGGTCCAGCATCTCCCCAGCCCCCTGCTCACCCCATCCCTGGGTGAGAGCGGCAGGGATGGGCTCTGTACACAACAAGGGCATGTGGTGGGCGGGGAGAGAAAGGGACAGTGAAATACCAAGAGGAGAGTGAGGTAGGAGAGGGAATGAGGGAGGGGACGAAGTAAGGGAGGGAGGGGAAGTGAGGGGAATGGATGGAATAAGGGAGGGAATGGGAGGGAGACTGAGGAAATGGAGGAGGAGTGAGGGGTGGGGAAAAAGGAGGGGAGGGTCGAGTAGGGGAGGAGGGGGATGAGGGTAAAGGGGCAAGGAGGGGGATTGGGGTAAAGGGGAGGAGGGGGATTGGGGTAAAGGGGAGGAGGGGGAGTGGGGTGGCTGTGGGGGTGTGTGTGGATGATCACTGGGGGCAGCCTCTCCCTGGGAATTAGCCGCGGGTTTAATCTTATTGTGTCCAAGGTGCTGCTGGAGCCCGGTTAGACAGAGCGCGGGACTGAACCTGCTTTTTATCCGTTTCTAACATCTCCAAATCAATTCATTCGGACCCAGCCCAGAGAGAGGGTTAGGGGAGGGAGTCAGATTCACTGGCTCCCAGGTGAAATCACTGTCCTGTAGGTCAGCAGGTCCTGGGCTCGATCCAGAGACAGAGAGAGACAGAGAGAGAGAGAAAGGCAGAGAGAGAGAGAGAGGAAGAGAGACAGAGGCAGAGAGAAAGGCAGAGAGAAACAGAGAGAGAGACAGAGAGAGAGAGAAAGGCAGAGAGAGGCAGAGGCAGAGAGAGGGAGAGAGGCAGAGAGAGAGAAAGGCAGAGAGACAGAGAGAGAGGGAGGGATAAAGACAGAGAGAGCGACAGAGAGAGGAAATGAGACACTGAGACAGAGAGAGAGCGGAGCAGTTGGCTCCGCCACCCGCTTTGGCTCTCCCCCAACTCTCCGGCATCTGCTCTCATCAGCCCCTTCCCTATCCTCCTAGCCCCCTACTCCAACCCCTCCCGACCCTGTGCTCTCCTCCACCAAACTCCCACCTCCTAATTCCCCCTCCCCACTTCCTAAACCCCTCCCAACCTCCCATAGCCCCTCCCCATCTCCTAACCCCCTCCCCACCTCCCAATCCCCCTCCCCCTCTCCTACTCCTGCTTCCCACCTCCCAATCACCCTCCCCACCTCCTCTTCCCTTCCCCAACTCCTCCCCCTCCCCGTCACCTCCTCCTACTCTCCTTCCCCACCTCTGGCTCCCCTCTCCCCATCTCCCACGCCCTTCCCCATCTCCCCTCCTGGGTTCCCCCTCCCCAGCCCCTGCTCCGCCTCCTGCTCACCTTCTGTTTCTACTCCCCACCCCACCCCGCACGGGCTGAGTGGAAGCAGCAGGGTCCCTCTGTCTGTCTCTATCCCTACCCACCCCCCCCACCCCTCCAAATGCCAGCCCCTGCTCTCCCATTGGCGCGCTGTTCCTGAAAGCCGGGAACGTGAGCGGTGTGAGTGAGTGAGAGTGAGTGAGAGTGAGTGAGGAAGGAGCAGTGTGTTCACACTCAAGAGAGCGACACACACACACACACACAGACAGAGACAGAGGGAGCGTGTCCCTCAGTGTCTCACACAATTACCCGGCCAGGAGCTGCTCCGCTAACTGGCTCCCCGGCTCTTGCTGCCTCCGGACGAAGATGAGGACCAGTTTTACCCCGTCCCGGGGCTGCTCGGGGCCGCCCTGGATATTACCCTGGAGCCTGGTTGCGGCTCTGGGTTGCAGCTTCGCCCCGGCCCTGGATTTGTCTCCGGCCCCAGGAGCAGGGAGAGCAGGAGGTGACTCCCGGCCGCTGAAGCTGACCAGCACTACGTTCGCACTCAGCGGGGACTCGGCTCACAACCAGGCGATGGTCCATTGGTCTGGCCAGAACAGCAGTGTAAGTACATGCTGCTTTCCCCCTTCTCTCTCTCTCTCTCTCAGGCCAGGCCAGCGTCCAGGAGCACAAGCTTCACATTTCCCACAAGTTTGGGTCGCGCACAGTGTGTGTATGACTTTGCAGCGCTTAGTGAGGGAGGCTTAGTGAAGGATAGGGCGTTCATCTCAGGGTGTTCCTGCAGTCAACTAATGGGAATATATCCGAGAAATGTGGGTAAATTGTGAAATGTTTGGGATGAGAGGGTGCCTGCGGCTGGAGTCTAAGATGACTGTGTGTGGGTTTGTTGTAACCATACAGTTATGTCCCCAAACTCGATCCTGGAAATGTGATAACGCCGGCTGTAGGTTATAGTGTGCGTTCCGCTAGCAATTAACTCGTCCAGAAGCACCTTTTTCTGTGTGTGTGAGAGAGAGAGTCTGTCACTCTGGGTTCAAAAAGCCCTCGTTTCTCCCCGTGTGGTCAATGCGGGAACCCTGTCCGAGAGAAACAGTGACGGGATGTGATAGATAAGGTGCCAAGTTATTGAGTTGTTCATCACTGCTGGAGGTTTCTCTTAATTCAGCGCGGCACCCTCTCCATCCGGGGAGGGGGAGGGAGTTGGTCGGAATGTTTGTTTGGAAACAGACGCTTTCATGTTACCCCATTAGCTGTGACCAGGACCCTCTCTCTCTCTCACACGCACACGCAGGGGGCTGGAGTTGCGGATGTTAAACACGGTTTGAGGTTTTTATCTCCAGTATATTCCACGCGGTGCCGCAGTGCCCAGATATCCAAACTGGAACGAATATTCCAGTCTCCACCTGCCAGCAAAGCCCCCTCCCCAAGCCCCGCTCCCCTTCTGAAGGACGCTGAGAGAATGCTTTTTTAAGGGCCCCCCTCCACAGTTTCTAAATATTATAGGAAATTGAAATAGCTACACCATAGGGCCGTCTTGTCCTGACACTGAATTCTTCTCCATCTCCTTGCTCTGGCCCCTAGGCTCTGTGTTTCTCCCTTTTTAGAAGATAATCTGAGTCCTTTTTTTTGAAAAAAAGGTCCTCAATTGGCCCTGTATATGATGAGATACTCGGTATTCCCCAGGCCGACTGCATAGAGCGGATTCTCCGCTGGAGCTTTTACTATTTGTTCTAAGTTTGTGCTGGACCCGTCAGCTAAACGGAACAGTTTCTCCCCAGCTACTCTGCCCCGATCATTTGTGATGTTGATCACCCTCGATCAAACCTGTTCTATAACTACAGCCCCAACTCGTGCACTCAAAGGAACTGAACTTCCTCAGGCTTGGGGTCACCCATCCTGTCTGTGAAGTCTCCGCATCTTTCACAGGGTGTACTGTCCTCAATTGGACACACCACTCCCACCTGAAGCTGTGTTTTGTATAAGTTGGACATAATCTCCTTGCTGGTGTACCCTGTTCCTCTATGAACACAGCCCATGGTCATGCAGACTTCACTAACCATGTTCCCAGGTCAGTGAGGGTAGCAGGACAGGTCATATACAGCTACACCCAGCCCCTTCTCCTCCTGCACACACTTTACAATTGTACTGTGTTTTCCCCAACAGAATGAATCATGTCACACTTCCCTGCATTAAGTGCCAGGTGTCTTTCCCACCAATCTCTCTCCATCCTTTCTTTGAAGTTGTACACTCTCCTGTTGGGTCACAGTGCTCCGAGTTTCACCTTGCCTGCTGTGAAGTTGCGCCCTGTGCGCCAACTTTAGACTCTGTGATAACTGGCCTGGAAAAGAGCAGGGATCGCGAGTCCCACCGGTGGGGCCAGCTCCGTTACCGCTCGCCAGTGAGCAGTTCACTGCCGCTTGGCTCCTTGACCCTGGGCCAACCTCGTTAATAATGTCGCCATTGTCCTTTCCCAGGCCATCAGCTTCAGCTCTGCGGCGGTTTGTTGCGGGGAGCTGTGTCAATAGTCCGTCCCATTATTTACTCCAGGGTAACCCCTCTGTGTGCTGAAGGCGAGTTGTATAAGGTCATTCAACTCTTTCCTAATCCATTGGAAAGACGTGTCACTGTTATTTATATCTTGGATTGAGAGCCAAGCTTGTTTACACGGGTTTTTAATCTTGTTTTGTTTGTTTAAGTCGGATACTTACTTCTTTTCCCCTGTTCCGGATATTTGGGCAGCGGGTGAGGGATTAAGGGGAACTTTATGCTCTTCTTCCGGCCTCCCCAGTTTCCTACTCCTCCGTCCCCCACCCCCCCCCGCCACACCCTCTGGATCGGTGCCAATTCTCTAAGGGTTAATTTCTCCTAGCTAGGCGCAGTACATCAATACTGCACAAATTTCCAAAATAGGGCCAGGGGTTATTGGAATTGAAGAGGCAGGTTGAGACGGGGACAAAAGCCAAGCGGATGAATGTACAGACACTGGCCGCAATTCTCAGCTGAAGAAGCGGAATTCAGAGAGCAATGTATACCCGGCGGCGATCCCAGAACAGAATTGTGAGTGTTTTCCATTCACTCGTGTGCAGCCCGGGACTGACCCGATATAAAGGATGCCTTGGAGCTTCTCATTGTACTTGAGCAAGACTCAGAAGCTCTGAGAACCTTGTGGGTTCCAGGTCTCACTCACTGAAAATGACATTCCAGAACTCTTTGTGAACTAGACCTGTCATCGGTCTGTATAACCGCTTTCTAACCCATTTCCTGGCAGCCTGGCACGGGCTTCTCTAATCGGTTCAAAACTTTTAATTTAAAATATCAGCAAATCAATTTCGTGTCCACTCCAATGGTTTTTGAAAGAACAAGCGTCGAGAGGGGGAGGAGGAGTTTAAGGAGATTCCCAGTAGCGGTTCCTGTGTTTGGGCTGACGGAAAGGGATAGCCTTGTGTTCCTGTTTAGCAGACGAGATGGGATGTGGGCTTATGACAGGGCAAAAACACACAAACACACATAACCTGTTATTCTCTCTTCTCACTGAATTGTTGAAAATATGAAATGAAAACACACGAGATATCATTCCCTATTCTATCTATTCACTCTCTCACAGAGCAGTGCTCTAAGTTGCTGAGAACAGGTGGTTTAACTGAAGGCAGTGTCTCTAACATTGCCACATTCCAACTCTAACATTGCCACCTTTTCCCCGCTGCAGCGTGAAATTCCAGCGGCGAGGCTGGGCGCTGTCTGTGTGAGATGGTCGGGCGAGGGTCTGTATCCCTGAGGAGGGCACGGCGTGATTTTAATCCAGCCACTTCTCACCCCCAGACAAGCTCTACCAGAGAGAGCGCTGCAGCTCAAGCTGTTTGCTACCGAGCGTTTCCTTCAAGTTTTTTTTTAAATTTGTGTTTTTAACGGGCGCGTGTGTGTGGAGGGTGGGATCTTCAGTAGACAAATTTATCACTTTCTGTAAAAGAACATTAAGCCACGCATCTCGCCCACCTCCCCTCCACCCCACCAACACACACACAGGAACGCAGAGTTTTGCCGAATTTGTCAGTTTTTATTTCCACGTTATCGTTTTTATTGCATTTTCTCCCCCTGAAGCTGTATAGTTCAACTGAAATGAAAATACAAGGATCCCGTGAATACATTTTTAAAACGCTGCTGCGTAGGATGCGAATTAAGTCACCCGGTGTACATGCCGGCAAATTACCACAACTGGTCACCAGTAAATTGATGCAGACCAGTAGAAATGACCAGAAGGAAAAAAAAAGTAAAACTTATGACTGATGCTTGAAAACTTCCAAATGGCAGTCCCGTTGAGCAGTGCATTTGTTTTATTCTTGCTGTTTTATGACCCTCAGCATCTTCCCAACAGCTTCTCTGAAGAGAGAAAGGGTGTGATACCAGTTGTCTCCTGAAAACTGTAGAAACTTAAATAATTAAGGCAATCACTTTTTAAAAAAAGATGAAAAGGTATAATTTGTAGGAAGTGGCTGGCCCAGTGTTTGTTACGAATTGCTAATTGCCCTGAGTGAAAAGGCGGTGAATAACATTCTTGACCCACTCCAGCTCCATGTGATGTAAGCGCCAGGCACGCTTTTTACACGTAAAAGGTGGTGAAGGTTTGGAACTGTTTTCCACAAATGGCAGTGGATCCGGGATCAGTTGTGTATGTCAAATCTGAGAAAGGTGATGTTGTGTTAAGCAAGTCTATTAAGGGATATGGCCAACAGATGGGTATTTGGAGTTAGGCGGCTCGATCAGCTGTGGTCTCATTGAACAGCAGAATAGGCTTGAGGGGCCGAATGGCCTACTCTTGTTCCTATGGAATGGCCCTATCATTCTAAGTCAGGATGGTGTTGTCCCTGGGGGAGGAAAGCCTGCAGATGCTGGTTTTTCTCCTATGCATTTGCTGCCCTTATCCTTCTAGGTGTTAGAGGTGGTTGGATTCAGAAGGTGCTATCAGAGGGGGCATGGTGAATTTCTGCATTGCATGGCGATGGTGGGGGAGGGAGCAAAAGTACAAGGTGATGGGTGGGTGCCAGTCCACTGGGCTGGCCTGTCTTGATCTTCTCGAACCAGTCCTTGGAGATGTAGACATATCCAAGGAGGGCAGCTTCAGGACTTTGATTCACTTCTTCTACTGTTTCTATCAATCTCTTACTGGGAAACTTTACTGACAACCTCCCCTCCCAAATCAGCTGCACAGTTAATTATCATGGTTCCACTCTTATTAAAATTAATGCAAGTATTATTTCCAACCTCTGAAAACAGAAACTCAGAGAGAAATGAAGTTAACAACATTTCAGGTTAATGATATTTTCATCAGAAGACTCATCAACAACTTGTACACAATGCAAGTTGATTAATGTTCTTCTTTGTGAATGCAACAATAATTTGAATGTTTTATAATATTTTGTTGTTCATGCAGAAATACATGAACTGTTGTAATGTTTCACTTGTGCCGTTAGGTAAGACTAGTGTTTATTTAAATCAACCTCTAACATCTGACATGAACTGAGCACCATTGTAATATATTCCAGGTATCCATAAGAATGGAGCCTAGTTTTATTGCTCTGTTTCAGAGCTGCTGCTGTAAGATCTTA